CCATCCCAACCCCCCTGGCACAGCTCCAGCCCTTCCCTGGCTCCTGTCCCTGGTCCCAGAGCAGAGCTCAGCGCCTGCCCCTCCGCCTGCCCTCGGGAGGAGCTGCAGCCCCCGAGGAGTCTCCCCTCAGTCTCCTCTGCTCCAGCTGAACCAGCCCAGTGCCCTCAGCTGCTCCTCACACCCTTCCCCTCCAGACCCTTCCCCAGCTCCCTGTCCCTCCTTTGGACACTCTCCAACCGCTTCACATCCTTCTTACACCGTGGTGCCCAAATCTGCACAACCAGAAGGGATCCCCTTGGGATTTACATGGGATTTACAAGCCCGACTCGCAGCTGGGAGCGAGCCAAAGCCCCATCACAGATGGAATTCCACCGGTGCATCAGGACATTAAAGCCCAGACAAACGTGGTGCCTGCCCTTTATCCCCACAGCAGTCACGGATCACGGAGCCTCCGCGCGGAGCACGGACACGGAACAGCAACTGAGCACCCAGCTCTGGGCAGCCCAACTGCATCTGCCTGCTAGGACTGGATTAAGAACCTAAAGCATGCAGCTAATCCTTGCTCCAGTCTCTCTGGAGATGGTAACACTGGCAAGAGACAGGAATTTCCAACATCCACACCGATGGCTGAGATGATGGAAGGGGCAGCGAGAGGGAATGTCACCCTCTCACCATCAGCTCCAAAGGTTTAGGAGTGTTTTTACTGAAGACAAGTGTGGTTCAGTTCATGGCCTGCTTTGAGAACCCCCTTCCCTCGGGCATTTAACCCTCATCTTGCAATTTGCTTGTTGCAGAACCCAGGGAAAAGGGCGGGTGGGTTTTAGCAGGAGTTGAGACACGTTCGCAGCTTTTCCTCCGGTAGCAAGGTGGTTTTCCAAAGTCATCACAGAGTCAGGGAATGGTTTGAGTTGGGAGGGACCTTAAAGCTCACCCAGTCCCACCCCCTGCCATGGGCAGGGACACCTTCCACCAGCCCAGGGTGCTCCAAGCTCTGTCCAAGCCTGGACACTTCCAGGGATCCAGGGGCAGTCTCAGCTTCCCTGGGCAACAACTCAGTGATTCCGAACTCAAGCTTTGCAAACTACTTCAAATACTTCAAATACCTTCAAAGGTGAAACCAGCTAAAAATCAGTGTTTTAGCCCAAGATTTAAAAGCCTCTCTGCACCTCTGTCTGAACAGAAACAAGACCACTGTGTGCTGGGGCAACAACAGAATTAAGTGCAAGGTGGGGAGTAAATCCCCAGCCACTCGTTGGTCCACAACTATTTACAGCGGGTTAAATCCAGCCTGATGCTCCCCAGTCAAAACACGGTGCAAGGCTGCAATGGGCAGGGAAGGAAGAATTTAAGGAAGTCAACTGTTCACAGGTAAATGAGCTTTGGGATACTTTGCTCAGCAAAAAAACGAGCCCCGCTGATCGTGTCTGAACTTATCCCACGTTGCTGCAACTCGGCTTCTTCCAAATTCCCTGCTCTGGGGGAAGGGAGGGACACATTTGCCAGTTAAAAAACATCTTCATGCAAAACCCCACGTTTGATACCAGGTTATAAAATGAACTGGTGAAACCACTGCTGTTAAATTCCTTTTTTCTTTTTTTTTTTTTTGGCTTTTTTTGGGGGAGAGGGGGTGGAGAGGGTGCCATCAGCCCTGAGAAGTGACCTGCTCAGGGAAAGGGGGCAGTGACCCTGTTTGCTCCTTTGTTCACAGCACTGCAGCCTAAAACAAGCTGCAGTTCTGGAAGTGGCTCCACTCTGTCCTTTCAGCCTGAGAACTATTCCAGCTGATTGCCAGCTTCCAGTCCCTGGGGAATCACCAGAGGATGAAGTCAAAGGCAGCAGGCAATGAAAACAAAACAAAGCAGCCTTTAGTGAAAACTGTTAAATGATTTGGATGTCTTTGCAGAGCGGGATCTTCATGTAAACTTGGAAAATGCTTTGGGACACAGACTAAACAACACCAAGCCTTCAGCTCACAGGACGTTCTGCAAGTTTGTCTGATGGGGGGCTCTGCCCTGAATGACAAGGCCTTCAGCACTGTGTTAGAGGCAGAGGATGGGGAGAAACATCCCCCTTCCTCTTGGGAGCAGGCTACAATCAACACCAACTGCTTGCAGCTCCATCGGCTTTGTGTGGGTGAAATGCTGGGAGGGGCTGGAAAGGGAAGCAGGTGAACCCCAGAGTGCTCTCAGGGGAGCGGGACAGGAGGATCCAACCATGCCAGGAGGACAAACAGCCAGCTGGGATCCCTCTGCTCCTCCCAAGGGAGCGCCACGGGCTCTAAATCAAGGGAATGGTCACGGAGGAAAACAGCATTCACACAGAAAATCTTTGTAAATCAGTAGGAATGGATCCCAGAATGGACTGGGTGGGAAAGGGACCTTAAAGCCCATCTCATCCAACCCCAGGGACACCTCCCACCAGCCCAGGTTGCTCCTCTGATCCAACCTGGCCTTGGACACTTCCAGGGATGGAGCAGCCACAACTTCTCTGGGCAACCTGTGCCAGGGCCTGCCCACCCTCACAGAGAACAATTCCTTCCCAATCTCCCATCTCACCCTGCCCTCTGGCAGTGGGAAGCCATTCCCTGTGTCCTGTCCCTCCAGGCCCTTGTCCACAAAGTCCCTCCCCGAGCTTCTTGTAAGCCCCCTTTGGAGAGAGTGAGTGATGGGGGAGATTGTGGTGGAATGGGGGGAACGGGAGATAATTTCCTATTTAATTCCCTCCAGGACACACAGAGAAAAAAGCCCCTTTCCCGTCACTCGACTCTCTGCAGCGGAGAGAAAGCGCAGCCCGGGGTTTGTGTTGACTTACCTGCTGCAAACTCCTCGATAGTCATCAGCGGGAAGCGGATGAGGGAGAGAGCTTTGCCCAGCACCTTGCGCTTGTTCTCCGGGATCACCTGGAGCTGCTGCCGCTGACACTCGGCCTCGGCCCAGCGCACCACGGCGTTGAAGAGCCGCACCTCGCGGATCCCCAGCGTGTCCCTCTCCAGCACCGCCACCAGCGTGTCTGCAGGGACGGCACACACACACACACCCCCACGTCACCCCCGGGGCGGCCAGGGAGGGCTGAGCGAACGGCATCTCCCCCCCAGCGCTGCTGCAGCCCCCAGAGGGGGATTTATCTGCGTGGTCCATCAGCAGGGCACTCACTGGAGCTGCAAACACAGCCTGTTGACACGAGTGCAGGAGGATGAAGTGCAACTGCCTTGGATGAAACAAGCAGCCCGAGAGCCAGAAGGTGACCCAGGCCTCACCTCCACGGCCCAGCTCATTAGAGGCAAGGTTAAAGTCTGAATTTTAATGTCCGTTAAACCGTGCCCAGCGAGTTTGGAAACTGCAGAGGATAATTAAAACAGCCGGCTCTCAGTTCCAAAAGCACAACACCTTTTTAACTCCAAAACCTGACATAAAGACTTCGGGGAGCGAAGCCAACCGCACAAAAAAAAAAAAAAAAAAGGCGAGTTACACCCACCCGAAACCTGCCAACATCAACACAGGAAACGGGCTTTGTGTCATGCCCAGAAAACTCCAGTTGCACCAAAGTAAGCAGATTCCAGGGCATTTCTGCAGGCAAGCCAGCAAGCTCTTTGGCACATGCCCTGTCTCCAGCCACTTCATGCCAGGGACTGTTCAACAGATTGCTCCGGAACAGCAGAGCCACAGAGAGCCAAGAATTAACCTGTGACAACCGCGGGGACGAGCTGGTTATGAAAGCAGGGAGAGAAGGAGGGGGAGAGGGAGCAGAGCTTACCCAGATCAATGTCTGTGAACCCCTCTGCGTTGATGGCATCCGAGGTGTTCTTGTCTATGTTCTCCAGGCACAGACTGGCCAGCTGGGGCTCGTCAAACAGCCGGGCCTGCTCGGGGGGATGAAGAGAAAAAGCCATTGCAAAAAGTTTGCACTCAGCACCCCCTTCCCCTGCCAGAGCCCATCTCCATTAGCAATGCCATGCCTGGCTGCACCAGGAATCCACTGGGCCTTTCACAAGCAGTTAAGCATGACAAGGCAAACCCCAGCAAATTCTGCTTGTTTGGCAGCAGCTCTGGCTCAGCTGTGCATGTCTTCAGGCACGTCTTTGTTCCGGCGCGGGCACCGCTCGCACTTTCCAGCGCCACACTGGCCCTGTCAGCTGAGCAGGGGCCATTTTTGCAGCCTATTTTATCTTCAGAAGGAAGCTCTGCCCGGTGGCTCCAGGCCTGCTCGCTCTAGGAATATGCAGAGACAGCTTAGTTCTGTAAGAACTGCCACACTGATCTCCTGTCTTAGCAAAGTCACGGTGCCTGTGTCCCAGGGAGACCTGCGGCCCCGGGGGGGGACACAGCCTGCTCAGTGCATTTCCATGTTTTGCACAGAAACAGCCACTCTAATCCAGTTACCTTAAAGGCTTCTCCCCAAAATAGGTTACTATTCCAAGCCAAGCCTGCGCACAGCTCGGAGAGTTGCTCAGAATTTCTCTGCCCAGCTTAAGCGCTGCCACTCCAGATCACCCTGCACTGCCATGTGTCACCAACCCCGTGCCCAGCATAAGCAGAAAACGAGCTGGAACACCCAAAAAAATCACTAAATGCCCTCTTATTTCCAGTGCTCTGGTTTTGCTGTTCAGGAAGGAACTGCCCTGACATCACACCTAACGAGAACACACTGGAACTCGAACTCACTGCCACAGACAAGGGTTAAAACTCGTGTTCTGCGCTGGGAATTCCACCACTCAGAAGGCACCCCTGAGCAGCTTCTGCTGGACCCTCGCTCGTGGGCTGCAGAGCTCAGCAAGGCCAAGCTTTGATGACCAGACCTCAAGTGCAGAGAGTCAAAAAAACCCGTATTTTCTCAGCAGGGCCCAGGGAGGCTTCAGCAGTTGTCACCTGCTCCTGGGGCTGGAGCACTGCCAGTGCCTTCCACTCTTGGCACCAAGAGCCGTGACTGAGTCAGACTTTACTACTGTAGTGGCTCTCCTGACACGTGAGCACTTCCCCTGCAGCCCACAGAGCTCTCCCCCTCAGCAGCTCCAGGCAGGCTGCACTTCCTCGCTGAGCAAAGGGACGCTGGGACGCAGGGCTGGCATGGAGGAGGGGCACGGTCCACCTCGGGGCACAAGCAATTAGGAAGGCTGTTTGCCACTGATGCTTCTGCCAGAGATCAGCAGCTGCTCGAGGAGCTGTTGGTGACAGAGCTGCTGGACCGGCAGACTGGGCAGTGACACACTCGGGGGAGGTTTGGGGCTCCAAGATCTCAGCTCTGTGATCTTTGGGCGATGCCTTGGACGAGATCTCTCTCTCAGGTCTGTGAGTGACTGTGCCAGGCGTTGATTTGGTGCAGTGAAGGCAGAAAACAGGCAGGTTTTCACACTGAAGGTCCAGCCCCAGGAGCGCTGTGAGAGCAGATCCCTTCAGTGAGGTGCCAGGCATGGAGACACCAACACGTTTCCCAAAGCACATCGGCCTCAAACCTCTCAGAGACTCGACAGAGAGCAACAGTGAACATGAACTAGATGGGAGTCACCACTGGCCATCAGTCACAAACAAAAGGCATCAGGACAGCCTTTCCCCATCTGGCATCTCAGCTGCCTCAGTGCCAGGCAGCACCTTGGTTCTGGCACCTGAAAAACAAAGGCACCTTCCTCTTTCACCAAAGAAGGACCTTTGTGACCTGTAGGGAAGTCCCCATAAACCTAAATATCGCCTTGCCAAAGCTGCAAACTCGGGTGCAGGGACTGAGCAAGCCACAAAAACAACATCCCTGCAGGAAGAACAGCACCATGAGCTGACACCTCCAACCCTCACGAGGCAAAGGCCAGTGGAAGGCACCTCCCCAAAACTGCAGCCCCCAGGGGAGATCTCCTCCCAGCTCTTGGCCAGCAGCTCCTGATCCTTCAGATTGCAGCTGCTGAACCCAAAGGACGGGAGAGCTGCAGCCCAGGAGTTACAATTGTCCTGCCACACGTCAGGTGGGAGGGCAGATTTGGCTGCTGCTGCCCAAGCAGGAGCCTGTGAGTCCTGAATGTTCCTCTGGGAAGTGCAGTGTGGATTCCCCCCGTGCCCTGGAGCTGCCTCACCTGTTTATGGCCTGTGGAAAAGGGCCAAGTTCAGGAGGATGTGTGAGGAGGGACACGGAGTGGCAGCAGGAGCTGAACCCAAGCAGTAACGAGTGTTTACAGAGGAACTGCTGTAACAACTTGATCCAAATATTTAAACTCAAAATAAAATCCCAGCCCAATCCCCAGCAAAGAGCTGAGCCCTGACTGCTTCAGGCCAGCGCTGCCTCAATATCTGCAAAACCGCTGGTGAAGCCACTGCCACCAGCACGGTGCCCACAGCCAGAGAGACACCTGTACTCCTGACAGGGGGGAAAATCCAGCAGACAGGAATGCTGGGCAAGTCAGGGTAACCCCTGAGAGCCAGACCACCCTGCAAGGTTTGTCTCCCATCAGACCCCGTGGCAGCTCTCCTGAGCTGGCTGAGCAGGAATGTCCCTCCAGGGCGAGTCCAGTCAGCCCATTCCATAAAGGAAGGAAACCTGCACATGATGCCTGTGCTGCCTGTCCCTGCAGCACCCAGAGCAGGGTGCAACGCCACAGACACTGCCCCGCGGGTGGCACCACTGGGGGTGCCACCAGGATGCCACCAGCTGTCAGCACAGAAGGAGGAGGGGCTGGGAAACGGGGAGGATTCTCATTTCATCAACCTGATCTCCTCCAAAAGAAGCAAAGCTGTAAACACTGCCTTCTGGTGTGGAGAAGGATGGAGAAGCCCAGCCCTACAGAGTGGAGCAGGCACAGGGGCAAGAGGCTGTGCAGCCAGTCCCACAGCAAGCCAAGGACCAGCTGCTCTGAGGCTCCAGGTGTGGGCCTGCAGTGCAGGAGGGTGAGCAGGGACAGGCTGAGGAAGAGAGAACCTTGTTCCTCTCCAGGGAAAATCAACCAAAGCACTCGTGAAAAAGCTGCTTTTTTTCTTCAACTTCAGGGAAGGTGTTGCACAGAAATCCCCTCCAAGGAATGGCTGAGCAGCCACACAGGGCAGGGAGAGCACACCCGTCCTGCATCTGTAACACAGGGAAACCCTCCCATCCCACTCCTCTTCCTGGCAGGTGAAATCCTCCCACCTCGTTAACTCCGTGCACTCTGGAAGGAATCACCTGCCACAGCAGAACAGGGAGCTGAAAGAGCAGCAAGATCTGCTGTGTTCTGTTGTTCTTTGCAAGACTCCTGCGAGGAAGAATTCAGATTGACCCAGAACTGCTCCACTTGGGCTGAGCAGCTTGGTAACACTCAGAAAATTCCCACTTTCCTGCTGAGCTGCTGGGCCTTGCTGCAGGCCAACAGCCCCCAGACTCACCTGTGTTAAGAGCATGAAGGCGTTGTCTGCTCGGAGGTTTTTTTTGAGGAACTCCACACAATGAGCCTCGAGGGCTGGAACGGCGTATTTTTTAGCTGTGTAAAGGGTTGTCATAACAGTCTCTGGTCCGATCTGAACTTCGTCTGAGTAAAGAAACCTGAAACAGGCAAACAAACATCGCTGTGGTGCACTGAGGTGACAGAGTGAAACCCCTGAAAATTCACGAAAAACATGTTTGTGCCTCTGCCTGTCGTCCTGGCCCCACTCCCGACACCAGGGAGATGGGAAGGCTTCACATCCTCTCCACTGACTCTGCCTGACCAAGGAGAAGCTTCTTTATCTTTTTTTTTTTTTTTAATAGACACTTTACAGCATAACTTTCAATAGCTGGGATACCCACTGGAGTAATCTCTGACCCCCCACTTACAGCAGGCTAGAACAGTCTCTGGCCAAGTGCCCCCCTTAAAATTCACGATTTTGGCTGTTCAGTTAGGACAGAAATCCAACTCTTCTCCTCAGAAGAGGAGCTCCATTTCACAGTACCAACTCAGAAGTGCTCAGAAGCACTCAAACACACCCACCCTCTGCACACGAGGTGCTTTGCCCACACCCCACTTTCTCCTCCTCATTCTGTGGATCAAACCCTTCCATCCCATTACAGAGGTGTGAAGAACAGTTCACAAGGTGACCCCACAGCGCAAAGCAAGAGGTAATTGCAGCGGAAAAACAAGATTTAATTGCAGTAAAAGACAAAGGGTGCCAGGCTGCAGCAAAGCACAGCCTTCCCTGCCAGGCCAAAACAAGGAAGTACATCCATACCCCTGTGGAAAAACAAAGGCAACCTGACTGTGCTCCCTCACACCTGAGCACACTGCCCAGGGAGAGCAGGAACCAACAGGCTGAGCTCAGTGAAACCACTGACACACTGCTGATGGTCCTGATCAGAGAATCCCACACTGGTTTGGGTTGGGAAGGACCTTAAAGCCCATCCAGTGCCACCCCCTGCCATGGGCAGGGACACCTCCCACTATTCCAGGCTGCTCCAACCTGGCCTTGGACACTCCCAGGGATCCAGGGGCAGCCACAGCTGCTCTGGGCAACCTGTGCCAGGGCCTGCCCACCCTCACAGCCAGGAATTCCTTCCCAACATCCCATCTCTCCCCGCCCTCTGGCACTGGGAAGCCATTCCCTGTGTCCTGTCCCTCCATCCCTTGTCCCCAATCCCTCTCCAGCTCTCCTGGAGCCCCTTTAGGCTCTGGAAGGGCCTCAAAGTTCTCCCCAAAACCTCCCCTTCTCCAGACTGAGCAGCCCATGCCCAGTTTTTGTTTAGTGCCTTCCCCTCAGCCAGAGGAGCATTTGCCAGTCGGGATCCCAAAGGCACAGAGATGGAACATTAGGTGTGTTCTCTGTGCCTGGCATTCCCCTTCCAGGGGGTATTTGGGAAACCCCAGCCACTTCTCCTCCTGCCACACTGTGTGGCCGCTGCTCCTGGAGGGCTTTTCCAGCGGGATGCCAGGCAGGATTCCCATCTGCAGCGGTGGAACTCCTGCTCCTCCAGCCACAGAGGGCCAGGATGCCGTTCAGGGAGGCACAAACAGCGGGATTCACAGGAAGGGAAGCACTCTCTGTGCTGAAAGCAGCCTTTTGTGCTGCCCCACAGCATCAGTCAA